CGATACCTAATTCGGGTCAGGGGGTGGACGAGCTGAGGTTGTTTGTCTCGTGGAGGTCACCCTTCGGAGGGTGCGGGGTGATCCTTGCCGGGGGCAATGGTACAGGCGCTATTTCCACTCGACCGGCCGGAGCGCGCCTGGTTCCGACCGCGGGGTTGGGGCTGGCTGGGGAGGGGAATAAGGGAAAGGGAAATGTGTATGTACTGAGATGTTTTGTTCGCAGTTACAGGACAAGTAGTACATACCGATGTTTGGCATATTTATTAATTTATTTATCTGATTTTTTCATGTTTTTGGTGGCGGTCCTTTGTTGGATTTCGGCGTTCGGGCTGCGCATTGGTTGTATGTTTGTGTGTGGGGATATGGTACGCGGTACAGGCTACTCGCGTGATTTTCTGATGTTCAAGTTTAAAAGTTCAATAAATGTCGAACTGTTGTCGGCGTGTGTGCTTGACTGGACGGAGTCTGCAGTCTAAGGCAACAATAAAATGACTTTCAGCATTATGCAGTGGAACTGTAGAGGTGTGATTTCAAAGTGGGCGGAGATAAAACCACTGCTGCTGGCAAGACCACATAGTGCCGTATGTCTCCAAGAGACACACTTCCTCCCTACTGACCAATATGATTTCAGAATTCCCGGATATACTCTTTATAACGCTTATTCTGACGCACATATTAGACGAGGCGGAGCATCAATCTACGTCAGCAACGACCTACCTCATTTTCAGGTCACACTAAATACTAATTTTCAGGCGGTGGCATGTTCGGTGACAATGGGGCATTCTCGTATTTGTGTTTGTTCTTTATACTTACCACCAAACGAGAATTTGACGTACCTTGAACTGAACGACTTGGTTACACAGCTACCGCAGCCGTATATCATAAACACGGACGCCAATAGTCGGCATTTCTTATGGGGTGCAGACCGGTGCGATTCTCGTGGAAAGGTGTGGGAAATGATAATACGGCAACATGCCTTAAAAGTGATGAACGATGGTTCCCCAACCAGAATGGACGAGTACACAGGATTATGGTCACATATCGACCTGACTGTGACGTCAAGCAGTGTGGGACAATTCATGCATTGGCAAACGGACACTGACTTACACTCCAGTGATCATCTCCCAGTTTATATTACATATGATAGGTATGGAGATATTCCACCACGACGTGACGAATTTACTGGTTGGAATATTAACAAGGCGAACTGGTCTGAATTTACTGACAGATGTTGTTTGCGATTCAATGAAAGGGACGGTATGCAAAACTACCAAAACATTACGAAGGTTATGCTGGGAGCAGCAAAAGAAAGTATTCCTCGGAAAATCAGAAACACCAAATATAGCTGCCCCTGGTGGACTGACGAGTGCAAGGAGGCAATTCGGGCAAGGAAACGGGCGCTCAATCGATTCCGACGTTCGCACACACATCTGCATTTATTGGCTTATAAGGAGGCGAAGGCGAAAGCCAGAAGGATAATTCGTACGGCAAAGAAAGATTCGTGGGAAAAACTATTGCATATGTTCAATGTGAATACGCCGATACAACACTTATGGGACATCATTAGGAAATTTACCAGAAAGGAGCGATTTGCGAGACCCTTACCTGTTCTGAAGGTGGCTGGTAACATAATTGACGACCCAACTGAAGTTGGAAATATCTTCGGACGGTTGTTTTCTGACATGTCGTCCTCTCGGAACTACCGAGCCACTTTTAGAGAGCTGGAATGGCAGATGATGGATCAAATGCCGTCATTTATTTCTGACAATGAGGAGGTTTATAATGATGTATTCACGATGACTGAGCTACAAATGTCTATTGCTAAATGCGGCAATACATCCATTGGACCGGATGAGATACATTACGCGTTTTTTAGACACCTACCTGATGAACAATTGCATTCAATTTTGGAAATGATGAACTGCATATGGTGTGGAGGTGATATCCCTGATGAATGGAGACACTCGATTATTGTTCCTATTTTGAAACCAGGCAAACCTAGGGAAAACCCTGAGTCATATAGACCAATTCAGCTAACTTCATGTTTTAGCAAAATAATGGAACGAATGGTCGCCAGACGGTTATCCTGGTTTCTTGAGCGGAACAATATGTTGTCTAAATATCAGTGTGCATTTAGGAATGGAAGAAGTACCACAGACCATGTAGTCAGGCTGGAGTCCGAGATTAGAAAAGGTTTTTTCTACAACAAATATACCTTGGCTGTTTTTTTGGACCTTAAAAATGCATATAATCTCACGTCTAAAGTTGCTTTGCTCACAAAAATGTTTAATATGGGTTTTAGAGGACGCCTTATGTATTTCGTTAGATCGTACCTTGATAACAGAACCTTCCAGGTGCGCAATGGAACATTATCGGATACGTTCGAACAGGAAAACGGCTTAGTCCAAGGAGGAGTTATATCCCCGATATTGTTTAACATCATGATTGATGACGTGTGTGGAAATGTCCCGAGTGAAGTGTCCCGAGCGCTGTACGCTGACGATTGCTCTCTATGGGTGCAGGGAAGGAGAATTTTTCATCTAGTTAATAAAATGCAGGGGGCGTTGAACCATGTGAGTGCATGGGCTGATCGGTGGGGTTTCCTTTTCTCACCTCACAAATGCAACGCAATTGTATTTCGAAGGTATATGAAGGCAAGAGAGATGACGAACATACCTAACTTACATATATATAACCAGCCGTTAACATACACCGACACCGTCAAGTTTTTGGGAGTGATGCTGGACTCTAGGCTGAACTTAAACACGATGATGCAGTACATTAAAACAAAAGCTGTCAAAAGGATATCAATATTAAAATGTTTATCTGGAAAAGGCTGTGGCGCAGATCGTTCTACACTATTGAGAATATACAAAGCCATGATAAGACCGATATTAGAGTACGCGTGCCAAGTTTTTGATGGTCCCCGTAACAAGGCAGTGGAAATGATTGATGTTATTCAAAATGAATGCATTAGAATTGCTACTGGAGCCTTTAGAACTTCGCCCATTTTACCATTGATGGTTGAAGCAGACATACTTCCCTTGAGACTGAGGAGATGCGACTTGTCTCTCCGTTATTCCCTGAAGATACTAAGTCGAGAGGATCATCCATGCAGAAAACTTATGGCCAATGAGGCTGCGTTACATGAGGTAGAGACTGGATATATGAAAAGGATTTCTGGTTTCCCGCTATATGAGAGAATACTTGATATGTGCCATGAAACAGGATTCGATTTCCCAGAAGAGGTGACCTTAAAACGCAGCGTCGTTCCGCCATGGAGATTACGTAAATGTACGTTGATAAAGTTGACTAACAGGAGCAAGAGAACGCTAGATGAAGTGCAAATTCAATGTGAGTTTAATGATTTGAGAAGCAGGTATACAGAATACGAGTTCATATTTACCGATGGAGCAAAAAGTGCAGACGGAGTTGGATGTGCTTTTGTCCACGGTGAAAGACGTCAAAAATTTAAACTTCCTGAACTTTGTTCGATATTTATAGCTGAAGGATTCGCAGTATTACAGGCTCTGAATTATACACATACAAATCGCATCCTCAAATGTGTTATATGCACAGACTCCTTGTCCATTATAACAGCCCTGGGAAATCCGACTTCTGAAAACCCGATCGTGATCCATTTACTAGAGACGGTCAGTCAGCTTATTGAAATGGGCAGTATAATCATTGTCCTCTGGATCCCAAGCCATAGTAATATACGTGGAAACGAGACAGCGGATGCACAAGCAAAGATGGCTATAAGATTGAATGACGTGTGTAATTTTCAAATGGGTCCTAAAGATTATTTTCCTAAAGTGCGTCGAAGTATTCGTGAATTATTCAACAAATATTGGACAGATTACAACCCTAGGACTAATTTAAAACGCATCAAAGAAGAGGTAGGAGACTGGGTCTCCTGTAAGCGAGCAGTCCGACGCGAAGAGATAGTGCTGTGCCGGCTGAGACTTGGGCATACTCGCTATACCCACGCATACATGATAGATAGAAACCTCCAACCTGAATGTGAACGATGTCAGTGTCCATTAACAGTGTATCACATTCTTCTTGAATGCCCCGTATATTTTCACGAAAGACGATCATTGGTAACACTATGTCAACGGTCCGGAACACAATTTTGTGTGAGGTCGCTGGTAGGAAATCAATTCCCGGACATCATTGATGGAGTGATGAAATATTTGCGACACTGCGACCTACTGAAACAATTGTGAAGTGCTGCCTTTGCGTGCGGGACAAGTGCAATTTTTGCTTTGCTGTCATTGATTGCTGCCATGCTGTTTATACTATATTGTAATTGTTTGAAATGAGTTGTTTATTCTATGTATAATTTAAGCTTGCGTGCATATCTGCGTACGATGTCTGACTGGATGCTTGAGAAATGTGATAAGCAAGGAAGTGGTATAGGAATTATGTGTAGCAAATATGTGTATATGTGTGATACGTGGGTGTGTGCGTAAGCAGAGGAGATAACATGAATGAGGTTTGAACGAGCATGGTGAAGACAGATGAATGTGCGTGCATGCGTTAGAGTACACGGCATGGCAGATATGTGAAATTTCCATCTGGTAAATGCTTTGTTAAACGACAATGTTGTGACTGCCGACTGACTGATGACTAACCTGCAACGTCTATCATGTGGGGAAGCTGCGGTTAAAAGAAAATGATAAAAAAGAGCCTGGCAAAAAAAAAAACCGGACTTTTTGTTCTCTTGTTTTAGTTCACTAATCAGTTTATGTATCTGAACATTTAACACCGAGTTTTCTAGAAACTAACACCGTTTACTGCACCTCCTTGCTACACCACTATCCTGCACGAAAATTCCTGACCAGCGCGACACATTCCTTCTATCCTCTGTCGCGCTTAGTTACCACCTGTGCTACCAAACTTGCAAGACAACACTTCAACGATGGACGCCTGAGCCCAAGAGGCTATGCGCCCTTAACCAACAACAACAACATACTGGTGCGGCGTGTGGAGTGTTATGTTTACATCGTGTTTGAGCGTGGGGAGGCGCGGTTTCATGGGTTGTGTGAGTGGGTGGGATTCTTTGACTGCGGTGCTTTAAGAGGTCAGTACAAGCTTCTTCTGCTTTTCAGTTGATTTCTGCCGTGAAGAACATCCGGCGTGGTTAGGTGGATGACAAAAACATTTTTTTATGTATTTTAACAAGCAAGGGATTAAGGATTCTGCTGTTTTCCGAAGCTCTAGCGCAGACGCCGCGTTGTGCATTATTCCTGCAATTGCTATGTTTGGTCTTGATGATATTTATGTCTGGACCGCACTGTCAGGTCTTTTTGGCCGCAGGTAGGTTTGCTTTGGAGGCCTACCCTCATATCATGCAAATACAAATGGATAGTAAGACAGCGATGAGAATAAAGCTGACCAACTAGGTGTCAATAACTGCATTTTATAAGTTTGAAATAAGTGAAAATGATAGGCTGGTTTGATGCAGAAAACCACACTGTCAACCAGTGGATGACTATGGGTTTTAGGCATGCTGACTATTTTGGCTTGTTTCTGCTGTTCAAGATATGATATGATGAGCAAGTGAGACATATTCAGTGAAACTTCCCACTGAAAATAGTGTCATCTGGAAAGTACAGATCATTGGAAGATATGGGGACATATGTTAGGGCCAGTTCACAGCAGACCTGTATCAAAACAATTGGACAGGGACACAAAGATAAGCACAAGTGGGCTTATCACCTCTTTGATGTTAATTCTTCCCATGCATCATAATATTATCTATCTGGTAAGTTTGCATCTCAGTGGACATGAAAATAATGGAAAAATTGGTGGTGGGAAGTGGGGAGGATAGCAGATGTAGTTGTAGCTGCTAGGGCTTCAAAGACACCTCTGCTGTAGTTGTTGTGAAGATGTTATAGGTGCTTAAGGCAGATAATGTTTTGGATGCAGCAAAGTTAAGAAATATCACCCAGCTCAAAGCTTCTGTTATTTCATATGTTCTTGCATCTTGCCTGGAAATTATGATAAAACTGTTTGAGTGCCTGGCATCTGCATCCACTCGGGATGAAAATTATTAGTATGCCTAAGCTCACAAAATTTCTCGTGACAGCCCTGATGCATACTAGGCATTGTGGAGATTAAAGGACTAGATGCCTTGTTCTGAGGATATATGACCATTTATGCTCACCAAACTGTTCTCAAGTAGTGTCATGGTCTGCTGTACTTAGTTTTGTAGTGCACACACATAGGGCAAATGGAGGTATAAGTGATTTAATGTCTTTAGCAATTACATATTTTTAACATTTGATAAGGCTTGATAAATTTCTTAAGTATACTCCTTGCACCCAAATTGGGATTTTTTGCATCACTGAACTGGCTCTTGAGCCAGTTGCTGTTCTGTTACTGTGGCAGCCAAATTAGTTGGAGTTGGACCTTTCCATTTAGTTGTTAGTGCTGTTCAGAAACTGGTCCACTTTGTTTTTGGTTGTGGGGCTCAATTCAGTATTCAGCATATTCATTATGCATGTATTATCCAGCAATATATATGTTTTTCTCATATTGGCTGGCAAGAAAACATTGGCTTTCAGTGTTCCATTACAAACTAAGCATAGGGGAGACAAGGAGAGATGACAGAAGAAAGACTATGTAAAACATTATGCTGTTGTGAAGTAAGGTCACAGAGATATTGACTTGTAAATTCAGGTCTTTATCAGATTGTATGAAAGTGATGTGTTATGGCTGGGGGAAAGTAGTGTTATATATTCTACTATGCACTGCATCATGTACCAATAGCAGCCAGTCATGCTGATGGGCTCTCAGACCAGATCCTGAGGTCAACTGTAGTGTGGAAAGGAAGCATCCCATGAACCCAAAGACCAAGTCTGGAGAGTGCTAGATAATTTTTTCAGACATTGTCAAATGTTGGCAACTGTGACATGTCAAATTTGGGTACCCATGTTCCCACATCCCTGTGGACTGTCCTGTCCTCAGTGATGCAATGAGGACCTTGGTGAACTTGTTGTCATTCTCATGGATGATAGAATGGGAGGCTGCAAGAAGCCAAAGCCACTTGTCAGCAGTGCAGTTGCAGGCTTTGGTAGCAGGTTTGCTTGATTTAAAATGTGATCCAAGCCCACCTTGTGACCTCAATATCACTATTGTGGTGATGATCATTAGATCATCTTCCAGCCTGCTGATATCCAGGTTTATCCTGTGTTTAAGTCAGATGTTAGCTAAGCTGATGCTAAATGTGGCCAAGACTGCCAGCCTAGCTCATTACCACACTTTTGCATTTGTGTGCATTATGCATATGACTGTATGCAGCAAATTTCGGAAATGCATGTATTCTTTGGTGATTATGGTACCATCTATGACTGCTGACCAGCAGCTTCAGCTGAACATGCCCAGTGCAAATGGTTGGGACTGACAGCTCCCGAGAGCTGTAGCTGCAGCATCGTCAAACATATACAGCAGCTCACTGAGCAGGCCACTTCCTGTGAGGAGCCAGCCAGTGGGAGCGGGCCACTCTTCATCTTGTATTTTACCGGGACCAGCTTTGGTGTTAGCAGCACGGCGTGGAAACTCAACAGTCCCGCCCAGACAGCCGTCTCAGCGACCTGCGCCGTTTACTCGTGATGGACTTCACGTTCATGCTTTCCCCATAGATTGTCGCCATGGGAGTAGGTTATTGATTCTTGCAGTCATCCAAGTGTGGTGGCTTGGAACTGTACCCGATAATTCTTGTATCCGTAGATCAGGTCAGGTGATAAGATGCTGTTCGATCCTGTGGGAGCCCCGAAATCGGGCAAAACGATTCACACGCTGCTCGGGCCCACCGATCGTGAAGTAATCCACTCACGGACAATTGAGTAAGAACCGACTGGAAGCAGTGCCGCGTGTAGAATTTTCCCCATTCCTTAGAAAGGTCTCAAAATCCCTTGGCCAGTGAATAGAACAGCGTGGGGTCGGGCAGCAAGCAGCTCCTCGCTGCACATACGTAAAACCTGGGTGATAGCGTCACGGAAGCCCGCTCAGTGCGTGTGCCGCCAATCCTTTACGGAGCTGGTCGGTGTTCCATTGGTATGCTCGCCGGCCTTATCGGAGCCAAGGCAAGTTTTCGGGCTCTGACTGCGTAAACTCAGAGCTCTGGGTGGGGTGTTTTCAGCGAGCCAAGGGCAACCACGTCTAGAGTGTCACTGTAATAGTGATCACGACGTGTCGCTCGAGGTACGTGGTTTTCGAACAGATCAGTCCATGAGAGCTCCCAGTGGCCTTCTCGTGGTGGCAACTGCCCGTGCCTGCGGAATGGTGCTTCAAAGTGCGTTGAAATCACGCAGAACACCACCTGGTCGTCGGACGTCAGCCTTTCTACGCGACGAGGTTAAGGGCTGGCGTACCCAAGAAGTGCCACCTCGCTCTGGCCAGACTTCGCTGTGACCGGATGAAGGCTGAGACCGGTCTCTGTTCTCACACCCGTTGATACTGGTCTCTGTTCTCACGCGCCTTGAAACCGGTCTCTGTTTTCATGCTCCTTGAGACCGGCGGCCGTGTCTGCGGCTCTGCCGCCCAGGAGCAGGGTCGTGTTCTTGCAGTACCCACCAGTCCCGGATTTTGTTGTTGTGTGTGGCCGTGGTTTCTGGAAGGACTGCTGTATGAGAGAGTGAAAAGTGCAGCATTTGTATTGCAGACACCTCGAAAAGCTGCCAAATCCGCTACAACGCACATCGAATACTATTCGATGCTGGACAGCATCCTAGTGACAGCAGTGGCATAAAATACCAAAGCTATGAAAAAACAAGTGCCATTTTTCAGATCACCCCAATGTGAGTGCAGCATTAGGGGACAACGGAAGTTGAGGGCGGATTTTATGGATGGCTGGCATCTAGAAGAGGCCCATTTTGCAGCACTGGTGCCTGTTATCCGCGAATCTTGTTGCAGGTTCTGCAATTCTCCTTTACCAGTGAAAAGAACAGCCGCGATATCTCCTGATCGTGGCCGTTTCGCGGGCTGCACGCTCGTTGAATGTGCGTTTTCTGACTCAAGCTGAACGGGAAAGATGAGTTATCCGAAAATCTCGTTCTGCTTTTCGCCCACTACGACGCTTCATAGTTTGTGCAAGCGAAGGGAGGCTGCCGTTGCAAGTGAGGGTACTGTTGGAAAATAATGGGGAAATTTGATGCGGAAATTGAAAATACAAGTAGAGTAAATTATAACTTTAGCTGTGTGTCCAGCGTACTAACGCGCTTAATTTGATGGGTATATGCGTTAAAGGTGTATGTTTCAGCTGGCAAAATGTATCACTGTACCTTTGATTTGCGCTTGCATCAGCTGTGGCAAAAGAACGAAAGACAACTACTTCCGGACGGACGGAGATTGTTCGAAATCTATTGAGTGGTACGGTATGTCTCGTCGCCAATCTGCCCAATGTGCATTGATAAGACGTGCTCTAGACTTGTTTATAACAGATAGCATTCCCCGCTTATCTGTAACATGGTGTCGACATGCAGCTGGGACGGCGTTAAAGGGAGTGTTCCACATTTGTATGGAGTTTTGAGCCGAAAAAGCCATCTTCAAAATCATCCGGTGCATTCACAGCCCTGTCATTCTTATGACCTAAAAGCTTTTAATTTGTGAGCTGACTGGCCCACGAATGTGCGCAGACTATTTCAAGGTTACCCATGTGATGACGCCATATTAACGCCATTGAAATCCTGTCATTTCGCTGGCCATGCGGCTTTCAAGGTCGAGTGAATTATTATTGCGGAATCGTCCGTACGTAACGTGCGTGAGTACCATGGCCAAACATGAGGGCTGTCTATTGGCTTTCAACCAATGTCGCGCAATCTATGCAACATTTTATCACCTATCATGTTTTGTGCTATATAATATAGGGTATGCGGTCTTTCTAGATATTACGGGAGTAAGACACGTAGTCGAATAACTTGAGAATTGCACTATAAACCAGTATGTGAGTACAAGTAAGGGCCCTCCGATAGACATGCGAGAACATCACGAGAAAGGGCCAGAACACGAGCACCCAACGACATTTGGTTCAGCGAACACTTCCAGCCCACGCTGCCACTTCTTGGGAGATTGAAGAAC